CTCCAAAACTGCATCCTGTACATAGTATGTATAGTGTATTGATACCCTATGCGTAGCCCTGGTTAAGCGTGACCTGCTGTCTCCGAGACAGTCCATCGTAGTATTATATATGGTTTGTCAGCATCACATGACCTGACAATACTTTCATAATGCCAGATGGTACCATGTCCACTTTTCTTCAATTTTTCAGTGGTCCATACCTGGCCCTCATAAATCTCGAAGACAGCTGATAACACGTTTTTTCATTTTGACTGATAGATAGCGGTATTACATAATATGGTTCTTCATGGGAAAGTGCTTGTGGCTAATTTTATCTTACGTTGTCACAGGTTGATATCCCTATATGAGAAGGTATCCAGTATAGTGATACTTGTATACCCTGCTCGGATAGGCTAGCGATTTGGTGAATGGTATTGATAGTTACCATGTTTTCTGGATTAAATGTTGTAAGTCTATATAGTGCACCCTGGCTGTCAGAGAGAAGACAGCTAGGTGTCGCTGCTGTTCAGTGCCTTTTTTGACGGCATGGTATATTGCTACTGACTCGGCATCAGTTGGTTGCTTGCCAGTTTTGGAAATTCGCACACTTTCTTGAAGAGCAATGTCGGGAATTAGTACACCAATCCCTGCTGCTCCATGAGGATCAGTAGAAGCATCACAGTAGATTGCAAGTGGGGGGTACCCTGAGGGGGATGGAGAATTTCATCTATATATTTCAAGTAATGGCCTTTAACTCTGTTTATTGAAGTCATGGATTTTGGCCCTGTTAATTTATCAATATGTACGTTAACATGTGATCTATGCCATGGTGAAGTAAGCGTTGCTTCTGGGATGTTGATAAAATCATTGATTCCACACACACTGAAGCTGAGAATAGTCTGGGGCAGTCTTGGCCTTGCCATTCCAAGTTTGACTTTATGAGATTGGAGTACCGAGGCCGTCGGACATGCCTAACTCTACAATTAATCTCATTAGACAATGCAAGGGGAAATATGAGGTTTTGGACTGAATCTGCAGAAGTCTGATGCCGAGTATGGTGTTGACTTGGGTAATACGGCTGTGAACTGACGGGAGATCAAGCTCTTTCCTCATGACAAGAACTTTAGCAGTTATTGGGGCAACCCAAAATGACTCTCATGGCTTGTTCTGTAAGATTTCAAGGGGTTTGAGAACATTTTGTGGCCAACATACCTAAGAACCGGGCTCGCATAGTCTATCATGGACCTAACAAGGGAAATGTACATCAATCTTAGGACTCTTAGGGAAGCACCAACGTATCTGTTACTTATGTATTGTAAAGGTCTTTAAGCGCTCCAGGCAGCATTCTCTGATGTTTTGAACGATTTCCCGAGTGAAGCGGGAATTGCGGGACATGAGGTGGGGAGCACTCACCATAACACCAAGATACTTATAGGTGTCAGTTTTTTGCAATAACTTGCCCACCTAATCTTGGAATGTATGACAGTTTGTTTGATCTGGAAATATACTTAGTCTTGACAGGGTTGATTACGAGTCCAAGGAAGTGCACTTTTTACTGAATCCCTGAAGAACATACTCCCCCCTATCAAATACTCTGAATGAGAACGTCATCAGCATAGGATGTGATGCTGCATAGGTCTAGGTCTCCTAACTCACTATTAAGCTTGCAAAGAGAGTGCATAAGAATGTTAAATAGTGAAGGGGACAAAACTCCTCCTTGTGGAGTTCCTAACTCGAGTTCACCATAATTACTGTAGGTGCCTTAGGTAACATACTCTTGCTCTTCTCAAAGACAGATAATCCTTTATCCATAGCAGAAGCTTGCCCTTAACTCCTAGGAGAGTTAATTCATGGAGGATTGCAGTAGGGGAAGCTCTGTCAAATGCACCCTTGAAATCTATGATGAGTAAGAAGACTGTGCATTACTTCCATTGAGGTACTGTGCCAGGCACATTTGTGTTCCTTTCCCCTTTTGGAAACCAAAGACTGATGGGTGAATTTGATCTTTGATCTGGTGGAGCAGGCGATTGAGGAGGATCCTTTCACAGGTTTTAGAGAGACAGGATGTCAGAGAAATCGGTCTAAATTCATCAGGACACCCTGGTTTTGGGATAGGAATAATGGTGGCTTGTTTCCAGGAAGTAGGCAAGATGCCTGTAGATAAGTTAAGTTGAAAGATCAAGAAGAGGATTTCTTCCCTGTACCTGTACCTTGCAAAGGAGACGAATGATGTCGTAAGTGATTCCATCATCCCCAGGTGCAGTGGATTGCATAGTTTTAATGGCTGCAAGAAGTTCGTGTCTTGTAAATGGTGCATCAGCCTCATCTAAAAGTTGGCACTGATAGTTAATTTCATTTTTGTGTTTTGACTTAAGGGAGCATCTACGAATGGATAATGGAAGATTATCAAGAGAAGAGTTTTCGCAGCATTTACTGAGGATTGACAAAGCTACCCTTTCTGGATGAGGGTGGGGAGTGACATTGTGTGCGTTGCCTTTAATCTTATTGATTTCCCTCCACACATTACTCATGGAGCTCGTGGAGTCAATCGATTTCTGCCCAGGCATACAATCTCTCTTCCCGCTTTTGTGTCATTATCTCATTAAGTTTTTTACTAAAGAAAACAAGGTCCCTAGCTAAGTAGGGATTTTTCCCCAGGTTTTTTAGCTGATTTACTGTAGACCTTATTAACTTTCTAAGTAGCTTTATTTCCGGATCTTTGTTAAGGTGATATGCTCGTTTGCCTCTGGAGGATGAAGACCTATGTTTGACAGGGTTTCTGGGTTGGAGTTGGGTGATGAGGTTACCAACTTGTTGACAGAGAGTTTCATTAAAGTGATCAAGGCTGGCAGGAATATAGTGTTCATACCAGCAGCCAATCCTTTTAATAAACTCATTATGATGTTTAGTGGTGGCAAGATGGTATCGAAGACGTGGCTGGGGCGGGCTTCTTTTAGCGAATGGGAGGGTGATACTTAATGCCCAATGATCACTGACTAAGAAAGGGACAACTTCCGCAGTGCATGGGAGTGGGTGCTGATTGTATAAGACTATATAATCTAATTTGCCACCTAGATAATGAGTTTTTTCAAAGGGGCACAATAGGTGTATGGGATCACTGGTGTTTTGAAGATAATCATAATATACCTTACCGTTTTACCTATGGTGCTTTCCCTCAGAGCCAAGGAGAGGATGACGGGCATTAAAATCTCCACACAGTAAGACAGTAGCATTATGTATCATACTGTCGGGAGGTTTAGGTACCACTTCACTATCATGTGGGTTATATACATTAATGATGGTGATGGTTCTACCATCAAGAAATATTTTTAACACCAAGATATTTCAGCACTTGCATTGTCACGGTTGTCATCGATCACTTTTGATGGGATACTATTTTTTATGTAAATACCAAGTCCTCTTGTAGAAGGATTATTAGCATATTAGGTTTGTCGTGATATGTGTATCCTGCAATTTTTGCATAACGAGCATCAGTTCTAACTTCCTGGAGGCAACACACATCAACATCTTCCGAGTGAAGATACTGAGCGAGGGTCGCCTTGCGTTTCTGTAAGCTGTTAATGTTCCAGGTAATGCACTTTAACAGATTATTTTGATCCATCGATCATCACTTGACCGTTTCGGGCCACTGGATGTTGTCGTTGCTCGAGGAAGAGCGCAAAAATCCTCTCCTGGAACTGCACCATCTGTTGCTGCATCATGACATCATCTGCTCCATCTGCTTGAACAACATTTGTATCAAATCTTTCATTTCCCTGTTGGATTCTTGCTTTTCCTGCTGCGGTGAGGGAGGAGCTGGAGCTGGTGATGGCGTCGGTGCTGCAGCTGGCACTGGAGCAGGAGCTGCAGCTGGTGCTACAGCTGGCGCTGGAGTGGGTGCTGCAACTGGAGTAGAAGCTGCAGCTGTCGTTGGTGTTGCAGTTGGAGTAGGTGCTGCAGCTGGTGCAGGTGCTACAGCTGGTGATGTGGCCGGTGCATGGCTTTATTTGCAGAGGCTTTCAGAGTTGACCTCTGCAGGTGTGGGAATTCCCGCACGTCATTAAGACGAGGGGCTGGGCGGGTTTATTGGGGGGAGGGGCTGCCTGCTTTTTTTCATGTGTTGTCCTTCTGTCTTTCGGGTAGTAGGCGCATAATGGCGAGTTGGCATTATGCTCCTGACGGCAGTTCACACATTTCCGAGGGATGATTTTACCTTCAGAAATTTTCTCTGCGCACTCTGAGCTTTCATGCGAAAGAGCGCAGTATCGGCACCGCGGTGCCTCTGGACACGCACGTGCCCCGTGTCCCCACTTTGAGCAATGGGAGCAAAACGGGGTCAGAGATTTGAAGATGGCACATCTAAAGGGTGCCATGCCCTCCACCATTTTGATAGTTTTGGGGATTACCTCCCCATATGTTATGATGACTCTCTGGGTCATCAATCCATTGATCTTCATGCGTTTGCCATGTACGACGCGTTCATTGTAAGACGTCATTTCATCTGTTTCGATTTCTCTTGGACGTCGAACACAATAACATTTTGTGCACTTGCCTTTTCCATACACTTTCGCCTTTTCTAGAATTTCGCCACCTGCACCGGCAGTGGTTATGTGGGCAAGAATTTGTTCATTTTTACATCTCACAAACACATTGTTTCTCCCAATCTTAAGTTCAATGGACCCCTTTGTCTTGTTGTATGGGTCCAATTTTAAAGCCTGGGATACCCAGCGATACTTATCCCCGTGTGTCCGAAGCTTTGTGTCGCTTAAAATGTGCGCACAGGTGTCCAGGGGGCGTGGTTTCTACAGAGTCAG